AGCCTTTCCCCTTTAAGGGCCAAGGGACTTCAGCTCCCAGAAGCCTCAGCCATGTTAGCCAATAGTCCCATATTGGCCAATAGCTCCTGGGATTGTGGGAGCTGAAGTCCCTCGGCCCTTAAAGGGGAAAGGTTGCCTACCCCTGGTCTATATCATTCACTCATCCTCTATTTTAACCACAAAGATCTGAAAAGGTTACTTTCCACTAGGTTTGCATGTTTAGTATTTTTTTTGTGTCATATTTCTCTATTAGCAGGTTCGCCACCCCCAGTATGTAAAAAAAAAAAAAACAACTTGTGGGTGTTTGGAAAACAATAATTGAGAAAATATTCTCCCTTTGTTCCAGAAATAAATGTAACATTCCTCACATCTCTAATGCCCTCCCTGCCCTTCCTAGCTAACCTTTAATTTTGGACATATTAATTTACTTCTGTTTTAAAAGAACTTTGTAAAAAATTAATATGAATAGAAAAGAGTCATAATTTTGCAAAGGATAGCTTTAAAAATGTCTAAGGTAGGAAACAGTCAACCAAGAGAATTCTTCTTAGGAGAGTTGAGTTAAAGAGAGCATGTACAGAGTGTCTGCCTGATATTAGTGAAATTTTTCTTGTTCTCCATGCCAAAACAAACAAAGATTCCCAAACAGCTCTGGCATTTCAAGTGTTTCCTTCAACTGTGAATTGCATTTGAACCACTGTTCTTTTTCTACTGGGTGATGTTCAAAAACAGAGAGATTAAACCATGGCTTCCCTGTTACTTTGCTCCTTTGAACTTCCTAGAGTTTTTGATCATGATCCAATTCACTGGTTGTGTAGCCTAGCATTATGCAAGTATAGCTAATATGGCTATGCACTCACCTGTTTTGTAACAGTCACTCCAGCTCTCCACCCACTACAAGGAATCCACTATTTGAGACTCTTACATGGCACTTCTAGGCTGGTGCTGCAGTTTATCCTGGCATCACTGGATTTTCACTTTCTTGAATAGGAATGTACTCTTGCACAACCTCCAGGAACCCCTTAGGGGAGGGGCTGTTGAGAAAAAAGTCTGAAATCCAGCTTTTCCAATTTTACCCATGACACCCAGGGAAAGAGACTCCATATAGGATAATAATAAGTCCTTGATATAGTTATGATGAGGAATCTGTGCTCAGGACAAGAGGCTACTGTCAGAGCAGAACACAGAGAAACAGAATGATTTCCAATTAGCAAAGGAATCAGACAAGGTTACATATTTTCACTCTATCTGTTCAACTTGTATGCAGAACATATTATAAGAAAAGTAGGCCTGACACAGAAGAAGGAAGAGTGAAAATAGGAGGAAGGAATATCAACAATCTAAGATATGCAAATGACACCATAGTACTAGCAGAAAACCTCAGGGACATGGAACACCTTCTAAGAGGGGCAAAATTAAAACACAAGGAACTGAATTATAACATCACAGAGTCATATCCTGGACAGAAGACATTGTGGAATTCAAACTGTAGATTAGCCAGAGAGTTGTAAATCTACCTATCTAGTTCTGTTTGAAAGTTAAGTGCATGGGGAGCAGAAAGAATGAACTACTAATATAGACAAAAATAAAGATGCAAGGTTGTGGCTGTATTCTAAGAATCTGTGATTGATTTCTAGTACAACTGTGATGTTTGCATTTGCAGTTTTACAATGACCATGCTTATGGTGTACTCACAATCAACATCAGTCTCTCTGTGGAATGCTCACTCACTGGTTCCCAAAGGAGGATTTTTGATCAATTACTTGTTAGATCATAGAATACCTTTACCTGTAATCACTGAGACTTGGCTATCAATGGTCAGAATTCAAATTTCCCCCTATTACAGAAGCTGTCATGGGTCAGATTTTGTTGGCCTCTTTCCATATTTCTTGCCCTACTGACTCTTTTCCTTCTTATCTATCACCCTTTGTTTCTGCCATATATAACTCACATGGTGAACTGCTCCCTTTCAAAGGGTATTTTCAAGGCTGCCTTAAGCATGCTGTCTTGCAATCTTTATTAAAGAAACCCTCCCTAAATCCTTCACTTAGTGGGGGAAGCAGACAGGCAGCACGGGGCCACCCTGGAAAGCTGTGGATCGGGGCCAAGGTATCCACACACCTCGGTCCCACGGCACAGCATCCCAGCCCCAGGAAGGAGTGCTAAAATAATGCTCCTTCCACAAGACACCAAAGGTGTGCTGCAAAAGGCTGCCGGTGCACCTTCGGCTCCTCTTCCACCGCAGCGTGTGTGGACGCTGTGGCAGACAGACATCCTCGGACCGCCGGACATGCAGAGGGTCCGGCGCTCTGACGATGTCTTCGGGAAGGGGTTGGGGTGCCCAGCGTGTGGTTGCCCCTCTCCTTCCTTGCTCTGAAGATGGCGCTTTGCACCCTCTGCTTCCCCCCTTAGTGTTAACTATCATCCTGTGTCTCTGTTCATTTCTCTCTGAAGTTTTGGAGAGAGTGGCTCTTTCCCAATTGATGCCTTATTTGATCACAAATGGTTTTTTTTTTTATCCATTTCAGTCAGGGTTTTGTACAGGTCATTCTGGCACATGTAGTAAATAATATTTTTAGTGACAGAGGCTTGACAGCAAACATTGGTGCTGATCCTATTGGATTTCTCTGCAGCCTTTGACACTTTGGATCATCAGATCTTACTACTACACTTGGCATCAGTGGGAATAACAGGGAACACTATGTCCTTGTTGAAATCTTTTTTGTAGGATTATTCCTCTGCTGTTTCATTTCAGGAATATATGTGAACAATCTTCTATGTAACTGTAGGAGCACCTCAAGAATCAGTATTGGGACCTTTTCTTTTTTTTCATTATATATGCGTCCCCTGGGATTTCTTATTCCAGAGGCGAGATTCCAATATCACAGCTACACAGATGACACTCACATATTACAGCAGGGGTAGGCAACCTTTCCCCTTTAAGGGCCGAGTGACTTCAGCTCCCAGACTCCCAGGAGCTATTGGCCAACATGGGACTATTGGCCAGCATGGTTGAGGCTTCTGGGAGCTGAAGTCCCTTGGCCCTTAAAAGGGAAAGGTTGCCTACCCCTGTGTTACAGAGCCTTGATTCAATTGATGCCTGTTCAGTGTTTTTCTGTGGATGACCACTCACCATCTTAAACTGAACATAGATAAAACAGAGATCTTCGTGTTTCAGCTTGACCACCCAGTAGCTCCACTTCATGCTCTTCACCATGTTTGCAGGGTTACATACCTGTCTTGGTTGCCAGGAGCCTTGGAGTCCTCCTGGATGATTGTTTGTTGGAGCAACTGCTAAAACATGTAACTTCTATCTTCTGAACATTCATAGGATCCATAGGTTTTTGACTATCAAAGCTGCCCATTTGCTTGTCCAGGCCCTGGTTATTTCATGCCTGGACTATTGTAATAGCTTACTGGTAGGTTTACCTTCCTCCTCTGGTTTTAATCCAGAACAGTGCTTTTTGGGTTATTTCAAATCTCCATACATACTCATATGTTTCTTCCCCTTGTAGATCCCTCTACTGGCTACCAGTTTGGGCCAGGGCTCAATGCAAGCTTTTGAACCTGGTATTTAAGGCTCTGCACTTTAACCTTCCCCAGTATCTGGCAGCTTGGCTATCATGGTATTTACCTTCTAGAAATGTAAGATCTACTTGCAAGGAATTATTTGGTGGTTTCATCAACACGTATGGCTCTGTCAAGGCTGACTGGAAAAGGATCTTACCCATTTTCATAAAGGGTTGAAGACCTTCTCTTCAACCTACCAGACTGAGGGCCTCAGCAGACGGACAGCCATGGGCCACCCCGAGAAGCCACGGATTGGGACCGAGGCTGCCGCACACCTCAGCCCCAATCCACTCTTTTTCCGGCCCTGGAAGGAGCATTAAAATAGCGCTTCTTCTGCAATGCTCAGAAAGGGCACCTCAAGAGGTGGCATGTGCCTCTTCACTGTCTCTTCTGGCTATTCTGGACACTGAGCTTGAAGGACATCATCAGAGCCCCTGTTGTGTGCAATGACGGGTGCTCCGATGATGTCCTTAAGAAGGGGTTGGGGCGTTGGGCGTCCGGATGCCCCTCTCCTTCCTTGGCGGGGTTTATGTTGCTGAATGTGCCTAAGATGGTCAAGATGGTTAGTGACTGATAAGGAGTTTGTTTTCAGTATATTAATTTATTATTTTATTATCTTAGTATTTTAATGTTGTGTTTTATCATCCAGTTTTGATTATATATGTTTGATGCTCCTCCCTTTTGTGCAAAGGGTGTTATAAATAAACATTGTTGTTATTAAAAGAATTTGTTTCATGGCTGCAGTGAAATGAATATTTGTAATATATTTTATTATGCAGACCAAAGGATAACTGAAAATCCAGCCTCTCCCACTTATGCATACATTGGCACAATGACTGTATTTTGAAATTTAATACTGGTGGCTATTTCTGTGTATTGTATTTCCAACAAGATGCTTTGAAGAGTGGATTGTGGTATTAAAGCAGCTATCTTACTCTTTGTGTTTGCATTTATATTTGATGTAGCTGATCCTACATCCTCTTTGTGTATATTGAGAAAAAACAACAACAACTGAAGACAATGGTTGAACATGAAAAATCTTAACTAAAGCTTTATGTGGAATTGATCTTAATAAAACATACACAGAAGAATTATAAAATAGCTTTACAGGTTTAGAGCTAAAACTAATAGATTGAAGTAGCAAATAAATAAATATCAGCATTATTTATTGTACATTCAAATGTTAATTAGACACAGTCAGATTTAATGATGAAGCCAGAAGCATAATAGTTTAAATTAAACAAATTAAATATATCCTTAAGGAAGAAATGAGAATTTCTTTTCCAAGTTGTATATACATAATTTAAGCAGAAAAAACACACTAAAACAAGTACAATATTATGAAGATTACAAATAGAAAAATCAGCTTAAAATACCTTCAAAGTGCTAACTTGGTGTGTGTGTGTGTGTGTAAATATAGAGTGAAATAAAAAGCCAGTGTGGTATAGTGGTTTGAGTACTGGACTGGGACTCTGGAGATCAAGGTTCAATTCCCTGCTCAGCCATGGAAACCCAGTGGGTGACCTTGAGTGAGTAACACATTCTCAGACCCAGAAAACCCCAGGAAAGGGTTCACCTTAGAATCACTATAGTTGGAAAATACTTGAAGGCATACAAGAACAAGAACAACAAGAAGTGGCAAAAAGATTTTAAAAAATTGGTCAGCAAAGGTGAGATATGCAGTCCAATCTAGAAAGCCTTTGCTCATAATAAGATATAGGAAACAAATCTGGTGAAATAAAGGAATTAACAAGTCAAAAATTGTACTTAACAAGAGTTCCTCTCTCAAACTGATTTCATTTTCTCTAGTTCTGAACATGACCAAATGTTTTCAAAAGGGGCATGGATCAGAAATAGAAGCACTGTTCACTTGTTATTCATCACTTTCTTGAACATGTGAGCAGATGAGTGCTGAGCCCCACCATCTCTGTTGTCACTTACCTTCCATGGAAAATTATTATGTTCTGTTTACTTGGAGACTTTCCATGAAGATGACAATGTGGAGTGGAGGTGATATTATATGCTTTCCTTCTCTCTTGATCAAAGGTGAAGAATGTTCTGCCCTTCTATACTTTACAATTGTATTGGCACCTGTACTTAACAGCAATATCCTCTTGATCTGAATGTTCAAGTTCTGTATTGCTTTCACATCATCTAGTCTCCCATCACCACATACACACTCATATGAATGTCTGGCAGAAACAAAGAATATATATATATATATATATATATATATATATATATATATATATATGGGGAAAGCAATTGCAATAGACTCTTATTTACTTTGTCACCATTAAACACCTGAAATTTTGTTAAGTTCCATATACATGACATACATTTGCATTCATAATAAGCTAAGTATAATCATATATTAAATCAATATTTATTAGTGACAATATAATTATGACTTTTAAAAATGTGTTCAAGCAATGTATACCTACCGTATGTATACCTACTGTATTTTCTGGCATATAAGATGACCCCCAACTTTTCCAGTTAAAATATAGTGTTTGGGATATACTTGATGTATAAGATGACCCCTCTTCCAATGCAAACCAAATAAAAATTTTAAAACATCAGATTTGATTTCAACATGGTAATTTTAATTCAAATGCTTATGACATGCAGGTACTTAGAAGAAAAACTGTCACTTATAAACACAACAAACTACAGCTCCCATAGTTTTTTGTGGGTTTTTCGGGCTGTGTGGCCATGTTCTAGAAGTTTCTTTCTGCTGTTGCAGCCTCCACTTATATTTGGGAGACCATTTGGGAATATGAAGCCAAAAGCACTTATCATCAGGCACTGTTATGCTATGAGCAATTTGTTCTCTTGCCTATTTAGTACACTAAGGTAAACAGAAATCTTGCTCAACCCCTCATGGCCACTGCATTACTTTTGGAATAACAGCTAAAATTCATTTCTTTTGGAATAAAAGCTAAAACTCAGCTATACTCATTTTGCACTTCAGAGAACCTTTGCACAAACCAGGAACAAATCAGTTTCCTAAACATCCTCATAAGCTGAACTATGAAAAAGTACAGATAACACCCGGGTCATCAAATACTGTTCTTCTCATAATGTTCCCCCATTTCCTTATGGAATGTCCATCTTGTATTTATTTCACCAAGTATGGAACAGGCTTGCTTAACATTCATATTTCTCATGTTGAAAACTGATTTTTACAATATATTGGTATCTTATACCAAAATGGCAAGACAGATATTTTAGCACTGGACATATAGGTTCAGGTTGCAATAACCTAGGGATGTAATTCCTCATTAAGTTTCTTCTCAAAGATAGCAATGAGTAATTTCAGCAATTTTTGAATGTCTTCAAAACTCCACAGTTTTGGAAGTCTTGTTGAAATTTGGAATTTAATCTGTGTGGGGGGGAAATCGCATGTTGTTGTTTTGCACAGAAAGACCCCCCCTCGACTTGTCGAGAGGGTTTTTTTTGTTGCGCCAGCCATTTTGGGACAAGGGACAACTGGTTGATTGGGCGTGCAGGAAGTCCCGCCTTAATTCCTCCATGCTTAGCCAATCAGCTATTCTACAAATTTTTGCAAAGCATGCTGGGAAATCTTGTGGTGCATAAGACAACACGAGATTTCCTGCGGGAACTTAGGGCTATATAGCCCTGCGCTACCATGTAGCGGCAGCCTTTTTAGAGCAGCAGCTGAGCGACCCAACCCACCCACCCTAATTTTAGTGTTTGGTTTTAGGCTACTCTTAGGCTTATGCTGGTCGCCTTCGGGGGCCGGGAGCGAATTTTTTCCCAGGGCTTTCCCCTGGGTTTTTCGCCCTCCCTGAGATTAATTTGTTATTAGATCGTTGGATTTGGGTCATATTCCCAGTGTAATTCTGTTATGGTTTTATTGTCAAGTTTTGTGATGTCTGTTTGATATGAAAGTTAATTGCTTATTCACATGATTTCTAGCTTAGTCACAACTTGGGGACTCAGGGTCTGATTCAAAGTTATAGTCTTCATACTAGTGTGGACGGGTAGCGACCCCCTACCCTCAGGCAAATAATTGGCTAATTAAAAAATTAATTCAGATTAATTAGGGTAAATTAAATTAGGGGAAGTGACATCAGTTGTTAAGTGCACGACATCATTAATATTAGTTATGTCATATAATGAAATATGATGTCATTTCCAGTTGGGAGGGGTGAAATTGTTTGATATTGTTATTTACATGCTTTGTCACAATATGTGAAGGACCACCCACTTTGGTTGGTTACACCTTCACTTACACATGTGACAAAGCATTGTGTATTTAATTGTAAATTGTTTGTAAATAGACCCTGTACAGCAAAAAATAAAGTTTTGGCCTGTTTATACCCATAAGAGGCATCACTTGTCCTTTGTGCTGGTGCAATTCATTTTATACACAGGAAGCAGGCTTTTCTACATGGAAAATATTTCAATGCAGAAATGTTAATTCCTGCATATAAAACATTCTTTTATGCACAGAAAATGCTGTAATTCAGGATTTATTATGTGTAAATTTTGTACAAGGTTTATTTTCTTAGAAAACAACATTTTATTCACAGGAATTAACATTTATGAATTATCAGCTTGGTAATGCTATGGATATAGCATATCTTGACTTCAGTAAGATCTTAGACAAGGTCCCCAATGATATTCTTGCAAAGAAGCTAGTAAAATATAGGACAGACGATGCAACTGCTAGGTGGATTTGTTATTGGTTGACTGGCTGAACCTCAAGGGTGCTCAGTAATGGCTCCTCTTCATCCTGGAGAGAAGAGACCAGTGGGGTGCCACAGGATTCTATCCTGGGCTCAGTGCTAGTCACCATCTTTATCAACGACTTGAAGAAAGAATAGATTTGCAGATGACATCAAATTTTCATGTGACATCAAATAAAGAGGAGTAGCTAATATCCCAGAGGATAGGATCAAAATTCAAAATAACCTGAATAGATTAGAAAGCCAGGCTAAAACTAACAAAAATGCATTTCAACAGAGGGAAAATGTAAGGTACTGCACTTAGGCAGAAAAAAAAATGAAATGCATAGACATAGGATGGGGACACCTGGCTTAACAAGACCACATGTGAATGAGATCTAGGAGTCCTAACAAACCACAAGTTAAACGTGAGTTGACTTGTGCCCAGAAACTAACTGGCAGCCAATGGAGCTATTTCAACAGGGGCATTGTGTAGTCTCTGTAATCCACCCTAGTTAAGTCTGGCTATCACTTTTTGGACCAGCTGAAATTTCTGAACACTCTTCAAAGGCAGTCCCAAGTAGAATGTGTTAAACTAGTACAAATGGGATGTAACAACAGCAGGTACCACTGTGGCTAGATCCAGCCACTCAAGGAGCAGGCATAGTTGGTGCACAGGCTTTGGATGTGCAAAAACACTCCTGGTCACTGCAAAAACCTGGGTCTCTAGGTTCAAAGCTGAGTCCAGGAGTGCCCTCAAACTATGAACCTGCATCTTCAAGGGACATGTAATCTTCTCTAATGCAGGATGTGCTCCTATTCCCTGATGAATTCCAAATGTCCTGGAGCACTTCTGTCTTGTGTGGATTAAGTTTCAATTTGTTTTTCCCCTCATCCAGTTCATTACTGATGACAGACACTGGTTTAGGACCAGAATAGCCTCCCTGGATTAGGGTGGAAAGGAGTAGTAGAGTTGGGTGTCATCAGCACTGCACTCCAAAACTGGTCAAAAAAGGTATCTCACAACATAATGCTCCAGTTTGAGGATACAGAGAAAGAAAGACTTGGGATGGACACAGATGGGATTCCCACAATCTTTAGTTCAATGCCTTAGGGATCCCATATGACATTGGTTTGGATGGGTTTTCAGAGTGATGTGTGATTCCTCACTCTAAAGAGCCCTCAGAACAAGGCAAGATTATAGGGGGTTGCAGACTGCCAGAAATAGTGCAAATTCAGTCCACTTTTAGGGTTAGGGTTAGGGTTAGGGAATCATGGGGACTGGAGTTTATTGTGGCACCAGAGCTCTCTGACAGAGAAGGCTCAATGTCCCAGGAAAAAAACAATCCCCATGATTCCCTAGCACTAACCCTAACCCTAAAAGTGGACTCAATTTGCACTATTTCTAGCAGTCTGCAACCCCTGTATATTCTCAAGAAAGCCACAACAGCTGTTTTTTCAGAGTGCACTGATAGCCATTCTGGTAAGTGGAACAAAAGCCTGTACATTTTAATACACCAGTTTTAACCATCATAGGGACACATATATGGGGGGTGGGGGGTGGGAACTGTCAACATGATATACAATTGTAAAAATGATTGATTGGTAACCAATATACAATTTTTCTCATGAATTTCAGGAGAGTAGAATCTCTTTTCACAAACTAACCTCAGTAATTTCTGTATTGGACAGGGATAGAAATAATATAAAAAATGTGTTTCTTGAGTGTAAGGAAATCCTTATGTAAGTATCATGGACTGACCAGAATCTTAGCAGTATGGACATTCTTCAGCACAAAATTCACATTTTTA